TGGGCTGGTTTTGCCCGCTGGTAGGGGTGTGCGGCACGCAGGCAAAGCGGAGCCCCTCGGAGCCCCACGTATCCGATTAAAATCGCGACTCAATCAGCACCTCGGCCCCTCCGAAGCAAGCAGCTCTGCGCAATGCGTGGCTCGACCCAGAGCGCAGCGATCCAGCGCGCTGGGAGAGGTGGGGGACCCTCCCCCCCGGGCAAGCGGGGTGCTGCTGTCCTTTAGGAACCGGCGAGGGTTCTGAGGGCAAAGCTGGGCGTGATTTCCCTGCCCCTGCTCTGTCCCGAGAGCCCCATGGTGTGGGATGGGACCCAAGAAAGGCGCTTGCCCACCAACCCACCCTGAGACCGTGGGTGGGCGATGAGGGTCCGGCTGCGAGCAGCGGGGCTGGCCCAGCAAGGCTCCGAGGGCTGGGCGGAGGGGCAGGGGGTGAGGCTGGGTCACTAACGTGCTAGAGAGGCATGGCGAGAGGAGGGCAACTGCAAAGCTGAGAGGTTTTCTTGTGTAACACGACAGCTCTTAATGAAGTCAGATCTGCCGTTTCCATTAGCCTGTCTGAGTCTGAAGAAGCTGCTGTTTTCCTGCGCCTTAAAATGCAGCTTCCACCCACAGATGGAGAAGGATCCCTGCTTTGGGATGGGCCAGAAGGCTTCGTTTTCCCTGTCTGCACCTAACAAAGCTTGTGCAGGGAATCTCTGGACTGCCGGAAAACTGACCGAGCTGTGGGAGCCCTTAGGACAGGGGCTCCTTTGTCCAGCAGCGTTGGCCTGCTGTGATGCAGATCAGATACACAGGCCAGTGACTCCTCTGTAAGTGTTGGAGATAGTCAGAGGCTTGACTAACTAGTAGCTGGGCGAGCTGGCCGTGTGGGAACAGGAGGCTTAACCACAAATCTCTCTTCTTCCCACAAATTCTTTCTTGTAGCGCTCAGCATTTCCGGACCTGTTTAATCTTCAGGCTTATCCCGAGCTGGGTTGTTGTTTGCTCCTTCTCTAAGTGGCTTTCACTTCCTAAACACCGAGGTGTGAGAGCAGGTAGCGCTGTGGGCTGCGGGAGCTGACGTTACCGGCTGAGGCTGTAAGGCTGGAGCTGCTCCATGCGTGGTTTTTTGCCTCTGGCTAGTCAGAAGCCGCCTCTGTCAGATGCGCTGGGTATGGAACCATCTCGTTTGGCTGCCTAGCTTGCTTCATCCCTCTGGATTTTAACCAACCTACCTGAACTTGGCTCAGAGCAGCCTGTGTCTAATCAGTCAGTAGACTGCAGGGAAGACCAGGCTGCTGCAGCTGAAGGATTTCTGGGGGGTTCCGTGAACATTGTCTGAAAAAAAGACTGGTTTTCTGGTTAGAAATCCTTTAGGTGAAATGATGCTCATGCCTTTTGGTGGGTACTTCTGCTGAGTGCTCTTCCCACTCCTTGGAAAACTATTGTGTCCCTAAAATATCAAGCAGGTGGGGAGAGAGCTGCTGGTTCTTTTTCCTTTCTTTTTTTTTTTTTTTCTTTTCCCTGCATTTTTTGGTTTGAAGATTCCGTAACGTGTGCTGTGAACTGGCTCCTGCACCTGTTTGCTGGGCAGCAGCTGGCATTTTTATCTCCCAGCCTGGTTCCCAGACCCTGGCCTGCAGCCAAGACAAGTAGGAAGGGGGTCCTCCTGCGGGACCCGCTTGCAGTGTCAGGAACATATCTGTGGGCTTGCGTGGTGTGGAGGAGAAGGCAGCACCTGGAATACTCCAAAACAGCAAAGCCCCTTTTGATCTCCAGTAAAGGGCGAACCCTGGTCTTTCCCGTAGTGGGTAGTAATCCATATTTCATGGAGCATGAAATGCTGCACTTGCAATCTGGAACAACTTCTAAAGTGCTGCCTGGGGTTGTAGCTTAATGCATCTTTCAGCAGCTGCTGAAAATACCTGTTCTGCCCCCAAAACACTTTTATTTAAAAGCCTTTTTGACTTGGAAAGCACTCTCGAGTTCTCTAGGCTCTTGCAGTGGGAATTCTTGGGGCTGTTTCCTGCAGGAGACTCTTCTCACAGCACTGATGGTGGAGGCAGTGGCAGTGCCTGTCCCTGAAGCTGCTGGTCCCCATCTCCAGGGCGGCCGGGTACAGCCTTTGCTCTCTCAAGGGGAGATCCTCTGCCGTCACCCCTCTTGGGCAGGGGATGCTTTGGAACAAAGCTGCCTTTTGGCACCCCTGGGGAAGGATGGGGTGGCCAAGGGATTAGCATCCCCGGCAGGCCTGATGGGCAGACAGATCATCCCACCCCGAGTGGCTGGTTCCATCTCCATGGTGGGAGACATGGACCCTAACAGTGCCGTACCCTGCAGGACCGTTATGCAGGCCTGGCTGCGGGCAGGGCTCTGGGGAGAGCCCTGGGGCTCTGCCAGCACCCCAAACCTGCT